TGAAAAAAGAGATAAAAGCCTCTTTATTAGAAAAATGGTTACTTCCAAAAAACTGTAATCTACTCAGGGACCTCAACTAAACCTTCAGTTGCAAGCAATGCCATCAGCAACATATCAAAAGAAAGATGCCTGATGAAATAATCAAATGCTGATGAGAAAAGGGTTAGCTGTTTTTGGTAGTGCACTTTCCAATCTTCTTCATATAAATCTGATGGGAAATGACAGCAAGATTTGGGCAAAAACTTGTTGGTATTTGCTGAAGGTGTCCAGTTATTCTGCCATGTTTATAATACTATTTCGGGGCATAGAACATACCAATTATATCCCAATTATATTGCAAAAAAGCTGACAAAAGTTAGATGACCAGATTCTTAATTTTATATTGGAAGGTGACCGACAATTTTCAAAATTAGTTCAGCAGAATTAGGTTCAAAGTGAAATATTGTTTTGAGAAGAGAAATAATCAATAAAATATTGATAATACGTCAATCACAGGTGCTGCTTCTTCAAATAAACTTTAACTTTCAAAATTTAAACCATAATTATGAAAATTTGGGGATGACATTAAAGATTGGTTACCATTTTGGGCATAATTTAGGCGTATACTTGATGATCCTACTTTAAAAGATGTAGATGAATTAACATTTTTGATATAGGCTACTGTACCAAAATCTAAAGCTAGACGGCTTGTAGAAAGTTTCTCATAATCTGGTGCTAACTATATTAAAGCAATTAATAGTCTACAAGCAAGGTTTGGGCGAGATGAAATGTTAGTAGAATATTACATAAAGGAACTCTTGAACATAGTGTTAAGTAATATTAACAATAAACCCAAACTTACTGAGCTCTTTGATAGAGTAGATACACAACTCAGAGCACTAGAAACTTTAGAAGTTGCCATCGAAAATTACGCAGCTATGTTACTCGCATTAGTCGAATCTTGTATTCAAGAGGATACCCTAAAAGCATGACAGAGAAATTCGTTTGAAGAAATTATTGGAATTAAAAAAAAAGATGTTGAAAGCAAGGAGAGAATTTATACGGCTGTTTCTAGATTTAAAGTTCCCGAAAATAAAAAGAGAGAGCCTAAGAAAGAATATATTACATCAACAGCTGCTGCGTTAATAAATATAAAAGTAACAAAAGATACAAAAAAGTATTAAAATATCTGCAGAGAAAATCATAGTTTATGAAAGTGTGAATGATTTTTAAAGATGACGCTTAAAGAATACAGCTTGTAGCGGACAAAGGATATTGGTATCGTTGTATATGGTCATATTTCCAGGTGATGTAAAGTCAACGTGCAATGTGAAAAATTATACGTTGATATGTAATCAAAATGAGAGTCAATCCTTAGAAATAGAAAATCAGAACATAGAATAGATAAACATGTCGAACAATGGGTGCTATGATTGAACGTTTACGTTATCCGTAACGTACATGTTAGGCCGAGTTTTAACAGTAAAGAGACAAATTCGTATGATGTAAAGTCTTTCATAACACATTGCCTTGTTACTTTTAAAATTCGGCCTAACATGTACGTTACGGATAACGTAAACGTTCAATCATAGCACCCATTATCTACACTAAAGTATTTTTACAGACTTTTGTAGTGAAGTGTTGACAGGAAAAGAGAAAACAAGATACTGGTTCTCAAAAACCATAAATATATTACTAAAGAAGCAATTTTAGATAAGGAATATTAAGAATCTGGCGAAGAAAATGTGATCCACTTACTCCTTGGAGGGAGTCAAACGCAAATTATAAAGCACAAATATGTCAATATAATATTACAGGATGAGCAGGATACTTTAGGATGTGATTTTAAAACTTTAGATCAGGATATTATATGCAAGAATGTGCTTTCCGTAAAAATAGGTCCGTGGACAGAAGAACTGTTAAAATTGGAAATCAAAATTCACGAAGAAGCAAACATGCCTGTTGAAGTATTAAAAGGGCCAGCAATTGAACGAAAGCAGTATGCTGATAGAAGACACGGACTAAGATATGGGTTAATTGCACAATAAAAGAAACCAGACTGATGGGCAAAGCTAGATATCCTTCAAAAGATTACATAAATTCTCCTAATTCTTTTTAATAACAACTTTTTATTTATGTAGAGCTAACGCAATAAACCATGGAGTCTAGATATTCTTGTCATTGAAGATCCTATTCCGACAAGGAATGAGAAAGACAAAACGATGGATAACTACAATTTCTTTCTGACTAACGTCAGCCAACATGTGGAGGGACGATATGAAGTAAGTAGCACTACTCTGGATAGAAAATCATGCCCCATTACCTGACAACTATAATATAAAAAAGATTAGATAATCTAATGAAAAAACTACAGGAAGATGAATTCTATAGAGAGTATGCCAAAATATTGTATAAATGTTGTGATGAACTTATAATTAAAAAAAATTATAAATTTGTAGAAAGTAAGGAAGACACACATTATTTACCACATCAATGTTATAAAGTTGAATAGTGTGACTGAATATTAAAAAAGCCTCTTTACAAATTAAGTTACGTAAATCAGATAGAGACTTCTTGAGATCTTTGTGGTATGAGGAGAAGATAAATTTGAACCTATATTGTCATGATAAAGTAGTTTGTGGCGTTACATACAGTCCTTTTTACTTGCAGAAGTAATTTAACGAATGATTTGAGTTAGTGTCCTAATGGCATATCTAAATATACTCCGAAATATATTTTTTAATATATTTCGGAGTATATTTGGAGTTTTTTTAACTTATTAAAAGCTTCTAGGTAGAAAATTGTGTGACCAGTGTGGATTCTGTTTCCGAGTTCAAAAATTTTATTCGAGAATCTAAAGCTGTAATGGACGATGCTAAATTAGAATTAGGAGCTTGGGAATATCCATTTTGGATAATACGTCTAAAAATACTATTTTTCCACTGTTAGGCTTAAGTTGAAATATTAATGTTGATACTTTAGAGGTATATGTGAATCTAGGATATACAAAATACTCTGAAAGGGTTATTCTCTCTGCTGTTAATAGTATTGTCGACGCAATTGATTTTAGTCTTCCTGTTTCTTTTTTACCAAAACTCCTGTTACAGAAGACATGTCTTTAAAAATTAGGATGGAATGACGATGTTCCAAAAGAATTCTAACATACTTTTAATTAGGTCTGTAAAGATTCCAAGATTGTTTTTGAATACAAGTCTAGATAAAATAACAAATCTAAGTCTACACATGGAAATTGTCTTATTTTTGAATACATATAGTTTTTTGCTATGCTTACGAAGATTTATTGAACGACGCGGCAAACCCAGTTTAATGTATAGCGATAATGATACAAACTTCGGTGGTGCCAGAAATGAGTTTCAAAAATTAAATTGGGCAAATTTTTAACATATAGCACAACAAAGAAGATTACATGCAAGTTTAACCATCCCTTTTCTCTTTGCTGGGGATAATGATGGGAGAAATTGATCGATTTGGTAAAAAGAGTTTTAAAAAAATATTTAGGTCGCAGTTCGCTAAATTATGAAGAGCTTGCTTCTGTTTTGTGTGAGTGTAAAGCTATCATTAACTCTCGTCCACTCACCTACCTATCAGGCTTTGACGCCTGCAATATTTTTGAAAGATATATAGAACATTGGAGTTTCTGATATTGACAAAATTAGAGGAGAATGTCTAAGTATAGAGCGAAGTAAAAAGAAGACTTAAGAAAAAGATTTAGATCAGAATAGTTAGGTCAGCTGATCGCTAGAAATAAAAAGAAAGATCCACCAAAGAATATTTAAGTTGGAAATATCGTTCTAATAGGAAACAAAAACGATAAAAGATTAGATTGGCCTTTAGCATAAGTTGTTAAAATTTTTTCTGAAAAAGACGGCGAGAATAGGTTTGTATGTTTAAGAACGGCAAAAGACGTGGCCTTGAGAACCGTTCAAAGGCTCTATTCTCTAAAAATGACCAATGATGAAGAAAAACAGATTTTTGTGGAAAAAGGAAGACAAAACAGTTCTAAAAATTTTGATGTCAATTTAATTCCAATAAGTCAATTTAATTCCGAAGAAACCGACGACAATGAACAAAACCAAACCAAAATTATAACGAGAAAAGGAAGAAAAGTTAAAAAAAAAACTCAGCGATATGGTTTTCTTTAATTTTTCAATTTTCTCTCTTTTAGGTGGGAGAATGTCTTGTATATTTTTTTTACATAGAATATGTCAAGTTAATTAAAATATTTTTTGACGTTATAAATATTGAGAAAAATAATTATATTTAAAGATATCCTCATTCGTATTTTCCTCTACGAGTTTATAACAAGCATATCAGTTCAGCTTTAAGAGGTTCTCATTTTTAAATAAAATAATTTTTGATCGAAAGTTTTTTTGCTGATATTATATTTAAGTTTAATACTTTAAAATTTAAAAAATAATTAAATTTGTTCTTTAATAATAAAATAATGAAAAATATAACTTCGGTGTCATTATTGGTAATATATGGAATATAAAATGACCATATTCTCTAAACAACTACAGGGTGGCCTACTCGGATGTGACCAACAACCGAACTATAATTAAGGGTTAAACTGTTCATTTCAAATTATACGAGATTGATCACATCCGAGTAAGGACCCGCCTATTCTGGAATCTCTATACAATATAAAATAATAAAAATAAGTAAATCAATGATGAAAGTAAGTAAAATACCCGACCCAGGCGATCTTTACACTCCAGAAGTATAATGAGTTTACATGGGGCATCACTTATCTCTAAAACTTGCGAATGTCATAACTAGGCGTATTACTACAGTGTGGTCTTTGTATTTGTTCTCAATTATATGCAACAATATGCCCTGCTGTCCTCTATGTTTGTCATAATAATTGTCTTTGTTTGTATATACCTATGGCGATTTGCTCTCAAAATGTCTACGGTTTCAGAGATTAATATTAAATTATAAGAAGGCAACCCGATTTAACTTTATACTGTTTTCACAATTTTTATAATATTCTTACTTACCGTCTTCAGAGGATAATTTCAAAGTAGTTTTCCACTTTGCACAGTTCGCTGTTTCTCCATCTTGAGCAATAAAGTCATTTAAGACATCATTGCTTTTAAATTTAATTAATGGCTTGCCAATTTCTTGTGACTGAAAAGAAATTAAAACTAAATATACAGTATTAGGAATATTTTTTGTTTTTGGTTTTTAGTTTATTACGTTATATAGCAGAAACGAAAACTGTTTACCCTAAATAATTTTGGGTAAGGTATGAAATATAAATCAAAAAATAATAAAAAGGAGAGACGTCTTTTTTGCTCATCTATACTAGTAACTTTCTACCACTTCTCCCCATAGCCACCCCCATGTTTTTTTTAATAAAACACCCTTTATATTATTGCATTTTTCTATTCTCCTCTAATAATTAATTGATTCCAAAAATATATATCTGAAGTGTAATGTTATAATAATTTCAATTTAATAACAGAAATGGATTTACTCAATTTGAAATAAATCAAACGACTTTGCTTCAGATAAAAACATTAACAGTAAATGCGGAAAAGGAGTGCAGTAAGAGAGCATAATTGACAATTTAGAGGCATACATTTTACTTATTATTATGGTACATGTTAAAAATACCATTAACATATTTCAAATATTAGAATCAAAGAATAGTTTAAAGACGCCCCTGGAATTTAATTAAGAATTAATTTAGGGCAGGGTATACTAGTTCAGGATGCGTAAGTAAGGTCGACTTTCACCCATCTGCTTAATGGATAAAAGTTTTTTTTTTATTAAACAAAATATGTTTTTAAATATACCGCAAATGGGTTGCCTACGAAAATACGGTCACGGCTTATATTGTCATTCTCTATTATTTTGCCCCTATACATGATTTCCCAAAAATGGACCTAATTCGAGATATTTGAGAAAAAGTGAAAATTTTGAATTTTGAAGATAACCTAAAAACGGATGAAGAGAAAAACACCACATTTTAAACTTTAGCTTTAATACATCCTGCGGTGAGCTGATTAAAGTTTGGGCACAGTCGAAGCATCTGGGGAATACTTAACAAGTTGTCGTTTTTTTTACTTTAAGAAAATAAATAGTCCGTATTTTCTTAGGCAACTCATTTGGAGTATATATATAAACATATTTGATTAAATAAAAAGAAACTTGCATCCATTAAACAGATGGGTGACGGTCGACCTTACTTTGGATCTTAGACCATACAAATCCAATAAAATAAAAATAACTAACGCGGTTATTATCCAATAGAAATGCACGAATTCAAAATCGATAATAATGATTAGTAAAAGTAAAGGCAGTTGGTAATATGTATGTACCAGAAAAAATAACGGTTTTCGGACAAATGCGAATTCAATACGTAACGAATCGAATAGAGAGAGACATAACATAAGAATCGCAATCTGTGGAACGAAGATAGGCGTCTGAACACGTGCCGTATTGAAAGATGAGAATCCCAATGCTGGTCACGTGTCACGTACTGCAACCGCAATCGATAGCACATCGACAATAGAGGACTTCTATACAAGGGAAGTGCAACCAACTTGACAAAATAAAATTGACACTAATGACATAAGAAATCGGCTCACATAAAGAGGCTGTTATTTTGTTAAATTATTGGTTTTTTCCATATACTTTTATGCCATTTACATACTATGTTGTACCCGTAAAAAAGAAATTTTATTTTAGGGTATTTTACATTTAAAGGTTGAATACATTTATCAATATCAGCTGTCGATAATGTCAAAACATTGCGACCTACTTTTTTTATTGTTAATAGTCTATTTGTGTTTCTCCCGGCTTCTTTAAACATTTTTTCATTTGGTTTTATATACTTATTTCAAATGCAAAAATGCTGCTACTACAAATACAAGTTCCATACGCTATACAACCACATACAAAACTAGTTACGTTATGCCCATCTATGGCTACGCCTGTGTTCTATCATCAACATAATTGCTGACACTGACAAATTTTTTCAACTTTTAAATGTAAAATACCCTAAACTAAAAAGTCTTTTTTACCTTATGAGTACACTATGGTATGCAAATGGCATAAAAGCAGATAAGAAAAACCAAAAAGTAAATTAAAAAACAGTCTCTTTATGTGACCCGATTTCTTACGTCATTAATGTCAATTTTAGTTTGTTAAGTTGGTTGCACTTTCCTTGTATAGAAGTAAACAAGAAATGTATATAGTGTAAATATCTAACCAACAATGTAGTGTATTGTTTATGTTAAATAATTATTACTGAAATGTTTACTTTTCTATCTTCGATCTTTTAATCCAAAGCCAGCGGCTTGTGAACACATGGAATACATTTTTCTCTGGTGTTATAAACGAGTTTAGCATGCAAAAGGTTTAATATCCTGATGCAGGCGAAACAATACTCATACTTGTTTGGATGCTTGTAAAGTTTATAAATTATAAGAAATTGCTGTGCAAGATATGAAATTATTTTGTATATTGTTCAAAATATAAATAAAAATTTAACGAAGACTAATTTTAGGTGTCAAAAATAATCAAGTAGCTTTAAAACTGAGGGATTTAAAGACAAGTTAAGGGCCACTCTTTTTAACTCTGGGTAAAGTTGAAAGTAACTACTTGCTGATTAAGCTATAAGGCTATTGTTTGTTAATCTGTCAAGTAAACCTACATATAACTTTACTCAGAGGTGAAAATATAGGCCCTTAAACTGAATAAATTTTAGTTCAAATAACAATTTACTAACGGCAACAAAATGTACGACATAAACATCGGTCAACTTAGGGTAGATCTTTTCACCTCTGAGTAAAGTTACATGTAGGTTTACTTGACAGATTAACAAACAATAGTCCTACCCAGACAGCACACGACGTCCATTGGACGTCCATATTTTGTCCAAATAATGTCCTGGGTAAATAAACTTCATATGGATGTCAATTAGATATCCATTTTCCGTTATTCCAATGGATATACCTATTCAGAGGTCCAACCGAAATTCGATTTTCGTTCAATGACGACTCAGCCAAGTCCGACTCAGCTAGAGTTCTGTTTATAAATACTGACCATATAAATCAATTAAGTCCGTATTTATAAACAACTCAGCAGAGTCGGACTTGGGTAAGTCGTCCCTAAACTAAAATCGAAGTTTGATTATATCGCGTGAATTTAGAGATGGGTAGAAACAAATCCGTAAATGTACTTAATATTTACAGATTTGCTAATATCTATCTCTATATTCCACTCTAACACTAAAAAAGTCAAGTTTCTATTTGTACTGCATGAGACGTTAGCAGAAGTAAAAGGCAATTTAGAAGATGCAAACATTTTTAAAGAAGCTGTAAGTTTTACTTTCATTAAATAAAATATCGTTTTGTAACGTTTAAGAAATAATGCATTGAAAGTGGTTTCATCAGTTATTTCTCTTTAATGTCCACAAATACATATTTTTGTTGCAATTTTAGATTCAACAGTTACCAATTGGTAAGGATATGTACTGTAACGTTTAAATTTGGCCTTATAGCGGTTTTTCATAAAAATAGTAATAAGCTAGTTTTTATCCCTGTTTAGTTATTAATTAATGGGTCCTTCTATGCCCGCATTTTTAACCACTGTGCTTTTGGTTCGATATTCGAACAGAGCGGTCCTTCTGTGATACTCTGGGTGAGCATGTGGCTGCTCTGTATTCAAGATGTCGGTCTAGCGTTTCCGCTCTGACGTTAAGTGCGAGTATATGATCAGTTTGGGGTAGATTGGACCTCTATTTGAGTTTAGTTAGGCTATTTATTTGGTTTTAGAGGTTTGTTTGGTTATTTTAACCCTTTCTGTCAAGAATTTATTTCGTAATAGAGGGCGCTGATGGGACACCTATCTGTCACTGAGGTATGTTGGTATTACAGTTTTTTTTGAAGTGACGTTGGTTTCCGCCTTCTGGAAATTTTCGAGATTGACATTCGACACGAGGTTCAGATTGGGCACGTAGATTTGGAAGGTATTGTTTCAAAATTTATTGGAAGTCGTTTCAATACATTTGGGATATTACGAAGCAATCTTTTTGTTTTAAGTTACAACAGTGTGGATTTGGTAGTATTTTTTTGGTGATCACATGTTGTAGGAGCTCGTAGGAGGATATATTTAACCACGTGTTGAATCTCATTGTGCCCACATATATATGTACTCTTTCTAAATAAGTCGTTCACTAATTTGCTGTTCAATTGATCTGGTGCACCGTTTTTGTCCCTCTTCTTAGGTGTAACAGAGGGTTCTTGTGACGGGCCAGTATTCTTGTGACGGGCACACACTTCTTGTGACGGGCTGATACTTCTTGTGACGGGCTATCAACCCTTGTGAAGGGCCAACACTTCTCGTGACGAGCCAGTATTCTTGTGACGGGCTGACTAGCACATCTTATGACCAGCTGATTGATTCGTATGCTGCTAACGAGGCAGAGACATCAACGTCTACTGGGAAGAAGTCACTGTGTACCGCAAGTTTTTACTATCTTATTTTTTTTATATCACTTATTACTATTTAATATATTTTATTGGGGGGTGTTATTAGTACATAATTTTATCTAAACCTAATGTAAACGAGGTTTAGGGGTGTATGGTTTACAGTACATTTTTATTAGACCCGATAACGTCACCAAGAGCTCTTCGTGGGTTATATATTATTTATGGGTAATTAATATTTTTAATAAGTAATGGTGCCCTATTATTTATTTATTTGTTAAATACAGTACACACCTCATGTTATAGTTTTACGATTACCCCTAGTCCCATTTAATGATTTTTAAGTCTAATATAGCGTTTTAGTTGTAAATATTACTCCCAGTGATACTGGATTACTGTTAATAGTTGGGGAATCTGATAGTAATGTACTAAGTGATTTAGTTGTTATTAATTTGGTAAATATTAGTATATTTCATAGTGTGAACGAAGTTGACCCCCCATGTCAACACGATTTATATTTAGATTATTAAACTTGGGTATATATTGAACTTAACTTATTATTTATCCCCACTTGCTGTCAGCATTTATTTTTATGGTAAAGTACACTTTTAATATATTAGGAGCATACTCGATTTGTAGCCGCTTGATGCCCTTGCAGAGGAGATGCTATAGTTTCCTATTTGGAGTTTG